CTTTGCACAAATCCATCTTATGCATGAATTGTGACCATTTCTGAACTGAGATACAGTTAGTCCTTGACTTACCACCATTTGTTTAGTGACCATTCAAAGTAACAACAGCACTGAAAAAGTGATTTATGATAATTATTCACACTTATGACCATTGCAGCACAGCCATGTTCATGTGATCAAAATTTGAATGTTTGGCAATTGGTTCATATTTATGATGGTTGCAGTGTCCTGGAATTCTGCCATTGCCAGTCCCAAGCCCAAATGAAAGAAGGAAGGTTGAGCATCAGGCTAGCAACCCATCTCTGTAAAATGTATAACTACTGCAAGAAACAGCAAGAAGAATGATACCAAACAACCAAGAGGACACCCTCAAAATACATGGCAAAGAATGTTCATGGAAGACTTAAAGTTTCTAAACATCACATGGGAAGATGCTGAAGTACTCGCCCAAAACCGAAAATGCTGGAGATTGCTTGCTGCCCAATATGCTACATAGCATGGGAGGATCTAATGCTAATACAAATGCAGTGACCTAGGGTCATGTGATCATCTTTTGCAATCTTTTGACAACCAAAGTCAATAGGGAAGCCAGATTCACTTTAAAACCATATTACTAATTTAACAACGGCAGTAATTTACTTAACAACCGGGGCACAAAAGGTCATAAAATGGAGCAGAACTCACTTAACAACTGTCTCACTTAGCAACAAAAAATTTTGGGCTCAATTGTGGTCATAAGTCAAGGAATACTGTATACCTTGGTCATAGTCACTCATCCTTGATCACCTCCTGTTTAAATTTGTAATGGGCAGAAGGAATAACTTTGAGGAACATGAGGAAGAACTGCAATCAGGACAATGGTCAGATAAAAAAAACAATAGTATGGGTCAGATCTCTTACCTGAGTAAGTTTCCTCCTCCCTAGTTTTCACAATGATAATGGCATGAGAAAGATCATTCAGATTTGAAAGATTCTGTTACTCTAAATAAAAGTAATTTTGGCATGCCTAACTTTGGTTCTACAAAGTGTATTCTATTACAATACAGTTTATACGAGGGTGGTTTTGAACATTATCTAGGCATTGCAGCTAATCCAGAATGCAGTAGTTCACATAGTAATGGGCATACCACAATAATATCACTATTCTGTGAACAGTACTGGTTCCCAAAAGACTTTGTCATGGATCTGCCTCTGGACCCCACTTTAGGTGCAACTTCAGAGGAGGAAGGTGAGTTTGAGTCTGCAGAGGAAAGTGTGTAGCCAAGTATTGGTCAGGATCGGGCTCAGCAAATGCTAGCCTGATGAAGCATGATGGAGCAGCCTCAGACAAGGACAGGCTGAGGCTAAGAGAAGTGAGCCACAGTTGCGGCAAGCTGGCCAGGAGGCTCCAGGCAAGGACTGGGAACAACTGCTGCCCATTAGCAAAGAGGAGGATCCAACAGAGAGGAGACAGGCACAATGCTGGTCAGCTGGATTACTCATGAGGAGGCAACTTTGCCTCTCATGAAGGGCTGCACCAGCATTGCCTACTTAACCCTGTCCTGAGAACTTGAGTGTTGCTGGAGCAACATAGCCAGTTCTATGTTTTGTGTGCTCATGTCTTTTATACTGGACTGTTTTCCTGGACTTTGTGTGTGCCCATTGGACTTGGTTACCCAGTGATTCTTACTGTATTGAGCTTGCTCCATTAGGGTCCATCAAACCAGCACAACAGGGGTGCTTTCCAAGGACCTATTGGGGGGGGGGGGGCTTCAATAAACACCAGTAGAACTCCAGGTGTGAGGGAGAGTGGGGCAGCACAGACTTCTTGGTACACTTCAAGATGTTGGTTACCACCAAATGATCCAGGGATGTGTTATTTGTGGAATCACCTATCTTCAATTGTTTCTACCTTTCTGCTGGATCACAACAGAAAGGCAGAAGCAAGTCCACAGGATCCAACAGTGTGGGCTTGCTTCAGATCACCTTTATGAAACAAACCAAGAGCTATTCCTTCTCTGTCATGCCTGCCCAACAGAACAGCATGCCCTAAAACTCAACTCTGTTGGTTTTACAAAAGGCCTTGAGACCTTGGCTATTTCTCCAGACATTAGATCAGAATATTGGATGAGCCTGAGCATATGATTGAGAAAATCACAAAAATAAGACCTATTCATGTTTTTTCTGCCTTGTTCCAGAATAATCCAACCAAAACTAACATTAAGTCTAAGAGTGATTTCCCTGAGATATGTTAAACTTTGTTACCCTTTAACTAACCTTTTAGCAAATGTAAGACTGTAAGTGGATATTCAGAAAAAGCCTAGGCAATTTAAGAGTAACTTAACATATTCAGATGAATTTTCCCAAGGTTTTTGTAATTTGAAGTCTTCATTCATGTATCCAAACATAAAAACAATGCATCAAAAATCTCTCCTCTCAGTATTTTTAAAAAACTTGGTTAAAATTCTGTACAGTTCTTCGAATGCATCATTTGCCACATCTGTTCCTTACATACTTTATTGATATATGTTAATGCGTATTAGTGCATTATCAATTTTCTTTTTAAAAGCATTACTCCTATGTGACATTAAAAATATTTCCCTTCTCTACATGCTTTTCCTACTTTGTAGGAGAATAGATATAAGAAAACATTGAACAATATGTAAGAGATAGACGAGATAGAGATCAGCGATTAGATTATATGGATGGATGGATGGATGATAGGATACTTTAAGTCATAGACCAGATTAACAACAGGGGGGAAAAAAACAAAGTGTGAGATAGCAAATAAAAAGCATAGTAAAACCCAGCAGCTATAAAACAACTGTGCTCAAGTTGTGACATATTTTAGAAATTGCAAAACAAAACCTGGCCACATTAAGAGGAACAAAATAAAATTGGTCAGATAGTAGCAGCTATTAATAAATGAATGTGGTGGCCTTGAAGTCTGAGTAGATGGATTGCTATTAGCCCTAACCAGTCAGCTTTATTATGAGAGCAATAAAGAAGCACATGGATTAATGTTTCAGGAATTTCTTCATCTTTATCAGACATAAAGTTTCTGTTTGAATAGAATACTCCACAAAACAACTGTTGTAGAATATTAAATATTGCCAGATCAGGGCTCTTCCAATTTGGGAATTGTTATTAGGCTAGGTATTTAGCTGGCTTGAAAAAAAAGGTTGATTGCCCAAGAACATATCTAACATTAATAAGGGAAGATGCATGTCCAAACATGGGTTTCAAACATGGCAGAAACATGGGTTTCAAACATGGCAGAAGATCTCATCAACCACATATATTTAAATGATAGAAATAATTTTAATAATTCTTTTAGTTGAAACCATATAATGGACTAAATCTCACAAGCATTTTGAGGGAAAAATTCATAGAGAATTAAAGATTCTGTGTTATTAAAGATACAGTTGAAATATATGATTTTTAAAAAGGAAGGAATGAAGGAACTGAAAACTAGGCTCAATGATTGCTTGGCAAAAAGGTGAAATGGTTGGAATTGGAGTGAAGAATAAATCAAGTTATAGACTTAGTGAAATAGAGAATTCTGGAAATAACTGAAGTTAAAGCATAAATGGAAAATAGTAAAATCTGAAAAAGGTGGGATGGAAGATGCAAGGGATACATTGGTTCAGTAAGGAAACTGTCTAGCTTAATTGATTAAATTCTCCATTATTATTAAGTGTTAAAGATTTTTCTTGAGGGGGAAAATGGGGAGTAGGAAACAGCTTTATTAAAAAGAAGTATTTTCTTTAAATAACTTTGTTTATCAACTAATTGCTAATATCAAACTCTGGATTTTAGCACAGTCAATTTAAACTGAAGTAGATGTGATGCACCTATTTGTGGGTATCCAGTTATTGGTAGCCATGAGGTCTAAAGAAACAGACTGTCCAATTTAGTTTCTTTTTCTTGTCCCTATGGCTCAGGTGACACCCCTGACATTACTAAACAGAAAGACAGGAAAAGTAAAATGTGTGGTGCAGAGAACTCTGGAACAATAATAGTATGAGCCATGGAAAAAAAGGCATCAGCAGAGTCAAATTTACTGGCCTCTCTGCCTCAGGACAATCTTTTTGGACTAGTAAACAGTTCTCTGAAGTTTAAAGCAGAAGTCTCCCTTAGCAACTGAAGAACAGTGGCAGAAAGCAATTGCTCTTCTGTGCATAAAATCTACACCCCTGTAGCCTACAAGCAATGCAGGCAGCAATGAAATATATTACTGATGAACAAGAGTAGCACATAAAATAATAGTGAGTGCTAACAATCAATTCAGAACTTTATATAGGGTTTTTATTTGCTTTTTTCACTTCTTAACTTGTTCATTGTGGATAGGCTCTTTAAGCATATAATATACATGGGGATTTAGATATCATTAGATGCTAAAATAGACCTGTAATAATTAATATTAAGGAAAAATCATAAATATCTGTTTAAATGCAACACAACAATGGTGTGTTTGTTGTTATACAGGTTAAAAGTATAAACTGTAAGCATTTGTCAAGTCAAAACTTCTTATTGAGACAGGAAAGAGAAGTTTGATTCAGATCATCTTTGGAATGCGAATAGCACCTTTAGCTAAAAAGTGATTGTCAAAAGTTGTACAGTTAAAATCTGCAAGTAAAAACAAACACACAAAAGTCATTGCCCCAAACATGTAACAAATTTTTAAAAATGGTATAACCATTGCAATGGCTAACATAGAAATGGCTATTATATATTGCTTAGAACAGTTTACTGAAGTAAGAGTATATTTACAAACTTGAATAAGGAAGTAAAATACATTGATCTCAATTCTATGGGCCACAAACCAGAGAGTGCAGAGTCAGACCACAATATTTCCATTATATTTTCAACAATTGGCTCTCTGTCTGGCAAATGACTTTGGGGACAAGGAGTATTTCAAATAGCAATTACTATATTAATAATGATGATGACTCAATAGATGAATAAAAAAGCCAAATCCAATCTAAACATTTAGCTGACATGAGACTAACCATAATAAATAATAGGCATTTTATAGTGATTTTATTATTATAATCTTTTATATGTTGACAGTAGCAGTTCAGTCTTATTTGCATCCAGGTATAGAAATATATGAAGTATGTACAATCATTTAAATTTGCACTCATGCCATTTAAATACTGGTAATTGTGAAACAGACATATTCAAACCTGAGGCAAATCAAGGCACAACTAGATATCAACAAATCTGGTTCCATTAAATTGAATAAGGTCAGCTGAAATTTAAAAGTAACATTTCTTTTTCAAACAAAAAGATGCAATAATCAAGCTAGTTTAATCAATACTACATGGAGTGATCTAAGAATCGGAAACTTTGTAAGGCTTTCTCATATCTTATTTCTCTACTCAAAAAAATACTGTAGTTTTCTAGGGTTAGTTTCTAGAATTTTACCTAGTTCACTATTTTTTATTTATTTATTTATTTATTTTTAATTTGATTTATATGCCGCCCTTCTCCGAAGACTCAGGGCGGCTTACAATGTGCTCAGCACTATGTATTTAAAGATATTTCCTTTTCCTGTTTTTCCCCCTATAAAATTTGTGCATTAATCTAAATCAGAAGTTAGCAATATGTGTTCCACCAGATATTATTGAACCCAATTATAAGCCTTAGCAATTTGGCCAATTATATGGAGCAATGGAAGTTTCAGTCCAATAATTTCTGAAGGGCTATAATTTAAATGCCCTACCTTTTATACAGATCCCAAATGAATGAGACTACCTGCAAAAAATACCACAATTGTGTCTTAAGAGAGAAAAACTTAGATGACTGATTCACTTGTTTCTCAGACAGTTGTCAACACAAAAATTATCCAACAAACCTCACACCCTAAACTTAGTGCCATTGTAAAAAAATCATCTTAGGCATTGTATAGTTCACCTTCGATATATCCAAAGATCATAATTGAAAAGTAACTGTTTTTTTAGATATAAAAATCAGCCAAGTTTGGCTGAAATAATTGATTTAACTCTGCAATTTGAGTTGATTCAGTTCATTCAGTCAAGTTTAATTCAAATTGTTGATTGCATTCAAGAAAGGAACACCCAATTTTATTTGACATATCAAATTGCTTCAGTGATTCAGAGGTTCAATCTGAAGGGGTGATTTTCTCAAAATGCCTTTAAAGTGAACCATCAACTTGAAAATTCAAGCAGCTTTACTGATTTGCAATCAGTCCTTCTCCAATCTTTAACTTCAAGAGAAATGGGCAAGGATTTTCTGGAGATGGAACATTGCACACAAACTTTAATAGACTTGTCTCTTCTTACTTAACAGTTGAAAGATGGTTGTGTTTGTCAAAGTGTAGTTTCTATGAAGTTATTCCTGACTTTATTTTCACTACAAGCCAATTTATCAATAAAAAGCTAATCAGCATGTTGTCATCTTATTAATCAGAGTTTTGCCATCATTTTCCAGTATTGTCTAATGCTTGAATTGAGCAGGTATGATGTTCATATGCATTGCAAGGGACATAGGAAACAAATTAAATGAATTGCTGAAGACTATGTTTAGAAAATAATTAGTTTAATTGGGTCTGTACAATCACATAGATTCTGGAGACAGAAAATTTTTTAGCACAAGGGAACTAAAATACTGCTGATTTAACTAATCAATCCATTGTTTGTCTGAAGCTTGGCCAAACCAGAGATTTACAAGTTCAGGCAACTATCGCCAACTCATGCTCCTGAAATTCTAGCTTTATCTGTTCTTTATCTGAACTTATTCTACTGAAACTACATGCAGGTTGTAGATTTGGATAGAACAATAATATAATGGCTATTAATAACTATAATCAGTATTGTGATAAATGTTATAGATTGCATCTTAACTGTTTAATTTAATTTATTTAAGCAGATTGAATAAAAGAGCAACAGAGCTTATCTGTGTGCCTGATCTTTTCCCTGTGGAAGGTATGCGGATTCACCCAGAAGAGAAAGCATTGAATGGTACCAAATATCTTTCTTTATACCATATTCTAATTTTCTTCACTCTACTCTCACTTATCTGACATACAGATAAGTGGGGAAATTAAATTTGTTTTCTGTATTCGGCTTCCATTTCCTATATCCTGGAAATAAAAATTCAGCAATAATAAAATGGTTTGTGTTGAAGGTACCACAAGATATTTCGATGTTATCAGGCATCAGATTGCCAGACTGGTAGGCCTCAACAGAAGAAACAGTTAAGATGCAATTGATAACATTTATCATAATTTTGAATATACTCACTAATAACCATTATATTATTGTTCTATCCAAATCTACAACCTCTATGTAGTTTGAGTAGAATAAGTTCACATCTTCCTTCACAGAGAAAATCGGAGGCCATATTGTGGAGCAGCATGAAGAGTACAATAAATGAAGAGGCTTAAGGAGAAGTGGTTTAAATGTATTACCTTTAAATGGTTTTTAGCTTTTAGATTCCAGTCATGGGTTAATTTTTTGCTATATGAATTTAGAATCCTCTCAATTCAAGCATTCTCCATTACTATGAACATCCAAGCAATAAAATGGCATTTGTTTCTTAACAGGCTTTGCTTCTGTGGCTATTTAATACTTCAGGTCCATCTTCAGTTCAAACATATATAGAAACAAACAAAAACCTAAAATATATTTTGTTCAGAAATTATCATTGCAACACACTTAAAAAAAAACAAACTACAGTCGCTATAGTTTTGCAGAATTTAAAATATATGTGGTGATATTTCAGCCCACACTGAGCCAGAGCTTCAAAGCAATGTTGTAAGATATTGCAATGATCACTTTTAATAAATAGCTAATTGAAGTAGGACTGGAAGTAAATGGAAGAAATAATCAAGTATTCTACAGAAAAACACCATTGTTTTTTACAAATACATTTTATCCAAAGCACATGCATACACACACACACACTCACTGATGCACTCACTGCTAGAAATGTTTCTAGCAGACATGACTAATGAAAACTAATAAACTAATAATGAAAACTAATGAAAGGAGGCTTGCAAAGAATTTGGCAACATCATTCTTTTTGTTTTGGTCTTAACATTTGTTCAACTATTCATATAATTTCAATTACATCATGTACTTTTATGCTTAATGCCTTTACTACTTACATATTCCAGCAAAACAACACCCATTGTCTGGCATGACCAGGAGGATAGATGTGTTAGAAGGGAAGTATTTTGTTTGTTATGCCTATAACATAATTTTTGGATTCACAGCCAATGTAACTAATTTTAGGGTAACTAATTATAAAAATATGAGGAGATGTGTATGCCATTTGCCCATTATGTTCATATGTAGTTAGTTTCTTTAGGTTTGTCTAGAATGAGACAATATTTTACCAGGAAGATGACTATAAAATATGTTCATGTTTACATAAAGATTTTTTACTATCAGCTATATATTAGATATAAATAAGCTACTATTGCATGTGCCTATTAATATCTATGTCTGCCCATACCCACTAGATGGTGATGTGGATAGAAAAACATGCAATTGTCATAATTTGCAGATAATCCTAGAAATTACTAGCCAGAGAAAGTTCCTGAAAATAAATCTAGAGGGAGCCATAGGGATACTTTTCTGCAGTATCCTATAGGTAGCATGAAATAAGAGTATTAATTACTATGCTGCTTAGAGAGATAAATCAATGGACATGAGTATATTTACTGATAAACAAGTGTTTATGGTTTACTGTTTGTTGTAGATGTACCCATTATGAGGAAGTACTATACATTGGACATACCACTAGGCAAATATGACAGGAAAACAAAGCTGATTTTCAGCAAATTGTTAGTGTATTTATTATGAAGATGAGTATATGTTTTCTACTGAGAAAGGAACAGGATGTGGGAATGCAATTGATTTTGTCTCTATTGCTAAGCTAATATACTTAGTTTTCCATTTTGTGGACCTAGATATGTTGGAGGAAAGTTCCTTTTGTTGTTTTGTCTCAGGCAGTAAATGCTTTTACTTAATCCTGGCCATAATTGCAAAGGAAGCTACAGTTCTGCAATGTATAAATTATCATTAATTAAAAGCCAAGGTAAGATGAACTGAATAGTCTGGGTCATGAATTTACATACTGTGACTTACAGATAACAATCCATAAGTCTTTCAGTCTCATTTTTTCCATGTTTATAATATGGCTGCAAAATGGAGTAAATAAAAAGATGATTTATTTAAATTGAACTAAAAACAACCACCCACAGATTACTTTGCTATAGGTGGATGGCTTTCTAACTCAACTCCTATTTTTAAAACTGCTTGTTTTTACATCAAGCTTAAGAGTTCCAAAATCTATGTTTATCATAGGATGTAGGATAATTATATAGGCAAACTGATGCATCAAAGGCTGCATTTGTTCATGAAGCGCACATTTTGTAGTTCCTGAAACAATTCTTATCTCAACTATTGAAATTCAGTAGCAAAGACTATTTTTATATAGTTTAACATATACAACTGTACTCTAAGGTTTGAACACATGCAACTTTCCTCTCATTTTTTTTTCAAATGTTCCTGTCGTGTTTTGACATATAGCTACACCCTGAGCTTGGTTGTTGTTGTTTTTTTTGTTTTTGTTTTTTTTGCAGACATTTCATTATCCAAATTGGGTAACATCATCATGTGCACTGGGGATGTTAGTTTGGGTAATGAAACATATGTAAGAAAACAACCAAGCTCAGCACTTAGGAGCATTAAGGACTTTTTATTTCAATCCTGAGTTACAAATATTCTTCTTTATTGAAGAATAAAGGAGCTTTGTCCATTCCTTTCTTTCTCCTGCTTACTTTGCTCTCCTCCTTTCTTCCCTCTGTGTGTGTGTGTGTGTGTGTATTCAAGTTAGTCTTGATTTCTGGTGACTGTCTGGAAAAATCCATACAGTTTTCTTAGCTAGGTTTATCCAAAATGGTTTGTCATTGCTTGCTTCCTGAGGCTGGGACTGTGATTAACCCCAAGTTACCCAGTGAGTTTTGTGCCTATGGTGGGACTAGAACTCATAGTCTCCTGGTTTCTACCCTAACCACTACACCAAACCAGCTCTATAATGTACCCTTTACACAACCACCATCACCATCAAGAAGGTTAAGTATAACTTCTATCCTCAAACAGTTGTTACCTGCAGAGAATCATATGGCCAAAACCTAGAAGAAAATGCTTCTAAAAATTCAGCACAAAGACCACTCAATCTCAAGAAATGGTGCCATTTTTAGATTTTGTCTCTAGCAATAACACAAAGCTTGACCAATCTATAATCAGTCACTGCTAAATATACATACATAAAGGTAAAGATAAAGGTTCTCCTCGCACATATGCGCTAGTCATTCCCGACTCTAAGGGGCAGTGCTCATCTCCGTTTCAAAGCTGAAGAGCCAGCGCTGTCCAAAGACGTCTCCGTGTCATGTGGCCAGCATGACTAAATGCCAAAAGCACATGGAACGCTGTTACCTTCCCACCAAAGGCTTTTTCTACTTGCATTTTTTATGTGCTTTCAAACTGCTAGGTTGGCAGAAGCTGGGACAAGTAACGGGAGCTCACCCCATTACGCGGCACTAGGGATTCGAACCGCTGGACTGCCGACCTTTTGATCGACAAGCTCAGTGTCTTAGCCACTGAGCCACTGCATCTCTTTAGCCACCGTGTCCCTTTTACATACATACATACAAACCTGCTCTAGAATACCAATTGTTTGGCTAATTAATTTTATTTGCTGTTTTACTAGTAAACTGAACTGCCAGTATTTTAAATGCCAAAGGTCTTGAAATGGCAATAGTTCATGGCACACATTTTCAATTTTAATTATAAGCTAAGCAGAAAAATGTTAGAATGGCGAATGATACAAAGAAAGACACTAAGGCAAAGAAGGCAGGGAGGGAAAAAACAACTGAGATAAATGTGCCACCACAGTTCATTGTTGTTGAAAAAAAAAACCCAACCAAATACCTAGAAGTGTTTCTATCTCTAATTTGCTTCAAAATCTGCCAAATAACCACAAATTCTTGATATAAGAAAATAATTTTGAAATGTGAAAACATTCTGCCTCACTAATAGCAAGCTGCCTATATGCTACATAAACCTAACATATATTTTAAGAATCTAAGCTCTTAATTTTCATTTTGAAGACATTTATGGCAAAATGTCCAACTATGGGCAGTTTGTGTCTTTTTTTCCACTCTTAGTTAATCAACAAATGTATTTTGCTATATTTGTTAAGACTTTTCTTTCCTTAAGGACTTCATATTTATCCAAGCTCATCACCATTTACATGCACAGAAGGCATCACACCACTCACAAGGACAGCATTCTTACCTCTGACCAGAATGTGCTTCTTGACCTCTCCTAAAATGGCCCATATACTAGCATGGTGTTCCATGCAAAAATGGGCAACTGTGGCCACATGCAAACACCTGCACTCCCCCCCCCCAATGTAATGGCCCTGAAAACCTCTTGAAAGGGACAGGGTTGAAATGATTTAGAACTGTTTTTGTTTTGTGGAAGAAGTTGATAAGGGTCAGATGGTAGTCTTATACCCTCAGAGATTTCTAGGGCTAATGAAAAAGACAATATAACTATTTTTAAGCTATCTGCATGTAAACAGAGGTTTTCATGTCATTTTTAACTTAAAAGTCTGCCTACAGAACTATCTGTTCTAATCACAGGGAAATTGTATGGAATCTACATACAATTTTAACATTTCTTTATTCATCTATGTGCAATCTAGGTAGATGAACATGACATAGGGGACAGGGATGTCACCACTCCTCAGTAATTTCATATACTTATATGGGCAACATTGTACATCCTGTATACCATATGCACTTTACAATGGACAATTGCTTTGTATAGCATGAAAATATATAATTACCATTATGTAAAAATAAGGAAGAGTGCATGTGTAAAACCTTCCTAAAGCTTTGAGTGTGGCCACAGAAATCTTCAAAAGTTGGAAATGAATTGCATGTTTTATTATGACAGGAGGAAAATACTAAATGCATGCATTCCCATGTGCATTTAATTAATTCTAATTAGGTTGAAATTGAATGTAATCAAATTTAAATCCCCCACACACCTTCTATTTCTTCATCCTAGCTCCAGCTGCTGACACATAAATATAGCTCTCATTATTCCTCACAATTGTATACCCTTCATGGAACCCTTACACAAGTTCTACAGCAGTATGAGCCCTATTCAGATGAATACAAGAAATTTCATCTAATTATCCTGACAAATCCTGCTCTTGGCCATTGGGCATGAGCGAGGAAGCCTGAAAGTGCTTCTCTGGCATTTCCTTGAATATAAGTAATATTTAATATTCAAGTAGAAGTAATACTCTTCTGCTATCAAGAATTTTGAAACACAAAGTTGTGGATGACATAATATGTTCTAGTTATCCTGAAGTGAATAGAAATAGAATATCCTTTCAGACTTGCTGCTAAATCCAACAAGATTTGTGTAGGATGGAATTTGAGTGCTACTGTATATAGTGACACATTAAGAAGCTGAACTAAAGGTAACTACGGTGAAGCTATGAGTTAACATCTGAGTTGCTTTTAGAGGATCTTATTGAATTATATGAGATAAAATAAAGTGGTCTGACTTTAATTACTGAACAGAGATCATGTTAACATCTCATTGCAAATGCAGTTTTAGTGGAGGAAACTGTCCAAATTAATTATAGAAGACTTATCTTGTAGGAATTCATTATATAGTGGATTGTAGCAGCTATATGAATAGTTGAGTAGAATGGAAACAAGAATTACATATAGAACAAAAAAAAGCTATCTTCCAAATTCATATTACATTAGTGATCTGGGATGATAAAATCAATATTTCTTTATGAACCAACATTTATTTCCTGCTTGCTCTGTTTCTGATCTGGTTAGAAAATTAAAAGTTTAAAAAGCCAGGTATCGAGACTGCCCCTTGCTTTATTGTGTTTGAATTAAGCAGCTTGCGTTGTAGATGTCAACTATTAAGCAGCAGCATATCTTGTGGCTTATTTAGGGATAATTTCTTATGGCTCTGTTTATGTCTCTGTGTGTGCACTGCACACTTGCATGATTCCTTCAGTCACTTTTCTTGGCAAGATTTTAGAAGAGGTTTGGCATTGCCTAATTCCTAGGGCTGAGAGGGTTTGACCAGGGGTGAAATCCAGCAGGTTCTGACAGGTTCTGGAGAACCAGCATCAGAAATTTTGAGCAGTTAGGAGAACCGGCAAATACCACATCTGGCTGGCCCCAGAGTGGGGTGGGAATGGAGATTTTGCAATTTCCTTCCCCCAGGAGTGGGGTGGGAATGGAGATTTTGCAGTATCCTTCCCCTGCCATGCCCACCAAGCCACACCATGCCCACCAAGCCATGCCCACCAAGCCACGCCCAGAGGTAGTAAAAATATTTGGATTTCACCACTGGGTTTGACCCAAGGTCATCCTGCTAGCTTTATGCCTAAATTGAGACAAGAGTAAACTGTCTCCCCATTTCTATCCTGATGCCTTAACCATTACAACAAGCTTGATCTTTACAACTAGGATTGATTATAAATAGCTGAGTTATAGTACTGCTTTTTGAACAAAGTATAGTCATAATGTAGCAAGAAGAAAAGTGAACATCAGTGATAGTTGAATGTCTGAGATCTTTTTAAAACTATGTTTCATGAGGAGAAAACATAAGATAATCAACAATGGACTGCATGTGCATTTCACCACTTAATGTGCAAAATTGATTATCTTGCTTTATATTATGATTGTAAGATGATGAAATTCAATGTCAATTTAGACTGTGCAGATTTTTGAAAACTTTGTTTAGATGAAGATCTTGAGTGAAGTGCCCCTTGAAAATAGCTTCACAAGGGTAGGTAGTCAAAGGGTTCTATTTCTAATTAATATAGTGGAATGAATGCTTCATTTTGTAAAAGTAGTTCAGCACAATTACAAGAAATGTACAGAAGCCATTGCTTAATGTGCATATTGGCCAATTGAGAAAGACCAGCTCCATCTCAACTCTTTGCTTGGCGTAAGAATCATTCATGGTCCACGATCATGGGATCCACAATCCCCTACTATCTCTTGGTGCCTTATTAAAAAGGAAAGGAATTTTAAAGGGAGAAGGTCTGCCTGATGATGTTCAGATCTGAGGAACTGATTAGATCTAGGCACTGATCAACTAATTTTAATTTTCAGACAGGAGATCTTTGGAGTCTTTATACCAAAATTCAGTGTAGGCACGACCACTGTTCCAGAGTAGACTAGTCTGGAACTGGACGTTACCGATTAGAACAATTATTTATTCTTCAGATAATCATGCACAAAGGAAGAGGAAAAGAAAAAAAATAAAGCTTCTACTGCTTTATGATCTTTAGATTCAGATATATATATTTTCGCTTCTAAAGATGGGAAAAAATTGAAAGATGGCCAGTTGGCAATCCACAAATCTGATGCAGTCTCCCTCCTGATTATTTTTTCTGGTCCCTGATATCCCTATAAACACTGTATGGTCTACAACAGGAAAACTCTGAATCCATGTTGAGAGTAACATTATTAATAGATAGCAGTGTGTCTGCAGCAATGATTCACACTCACATCTTGAAAAAAATAGTGATCACCAAGGGCAGAGTATTTAATAAGGTAAGGGAGCTTGTTTCAAGAAGTGTGAATACAAACAGAGTGAAGTGATGATCACAAGGCAATACGTTGTTCAAAAGTTATACCCTGATGCTAACATTTGTGCGAGCATATCTAGCTACAATATACAATGAGGAGACAATGTATCCTAAGTATTATTTCAGATATTATTTAATATCTGGTTGTATATATTTAAATGTCTAATGATTTTACAGCGGAGAGAACAACCTATTTATCCGCTAAAATGAAAACATTATTGCATTTAGCAATAAAACTTACAATTTCATACGTCTTTAAAAGCCACATAGTAAAAGTTTGATCAGAGATAACAGACCCAGTTGGATCTACCAAAAATGCATTATAAAAACAGTGGTGATACATTTTTGTGCACTTTTTACTCAAGTAGCTATTAAGAGTTATTCCATTTTTACTTTCATATTTTAACTTATCACTTTAAACTGTTTCCTTCTAGTGGACAATAAAAAAGCAACAAATCAAACAACCCCTCCCACACAAAATAATCTTGTGAAACGATCAGTAGACATGGGTCAATACAGTCATTTTTTTTCCTTTACTATAGTAGCACTTTTTTTGGTGAGGCATTGTTGGAGCAAGAATATTTGTTAAAGGAAGACCCTACTGTCACGGCACTACCCTGTTTGGGATTTATATTTAAGCAACTCATCAAATTCTGCAGGAGCCCTAGCATACATGACACCAAAATAAAATACCATGCCAAATCCTGCTCCAACTAATGTAGAGCAGAATAAACAATGGAATTTTGAAAGACTCCAGCATAATCCTCCTTTCTTATACCAGATACATACAAGGAAATAGATTATTTCCTTGTTGCAATTATTGTGCACTCCTGGACAGGTACAGGTTGCTTGAAGGCAAGATCCAAAAAGTTTAGTCTAGCTATGAATAGCTAGACATTTTAACAGAAGTCAGTTGTTACCAGGGCAGTGTGATGGAAGAGAAAAACATTTTAATGCAGTTCTGGGAAGACTCTTTCTGTACCCTTCTCTCTTTTTAGAAGGAACAGAACAGTGATTTAATTTACTGTGTTTTATAATACATGTGGTTTTGTAAATGCCTATTGCCATTTGGTATTGTAATTGATTATAATAACTACAAAACATCTGGCATGTACTGTGAACATTATAAATATGTATATTTATGTTAAATATTTGTTTCTTTTTCTGAAGGACTGTCTTGCATTTTGCTGGATCTGCTGAGAACTTCTTCACTCTCTTTGTGGGTCAAAGGCTCCACTTCCTTGGAATCAGCATTCTTTAAGGCATTCTGTCTTTCATCTTCTAATTTCTTCTCTTTTGCCAAAAGTCTATAATTGATTGCATTTCCAATGAACAGCCAAATGCTTGAAACAACAACAATTATACCACAGACAAAATACATATATTTGTAGTCTTTGGTTATGTCCACAAGCAAACCTGAAAGATTAAAAAAAACAGAAAGTAACCTCAGATAACATAAAAGATAAGTTTGCCTTCTTAACAATTAGAAAGAAGGGGTTAACAGTATGTGCAGAGCAGAAAATGTTTTTTGATGTTTCAAGCATACAAATTTTTCCTTCAAAAATATGTTTCTGTTTTTAATATGCATATATCCATGTACAGTGAAGCACAGTAGTGAGAAGAGAGGATCCATGTGTGGCAAGCATGCCATTATGTTTGAAAGTAGCTGCTATCTAAAAAGGTTTTGAAAGTAAGAAGTGTCATAATAAGAACTGCTATAATTTGTACTGCTTTCAAGTAAACCTAACTACAGTACTCCATAGTGAATATATATACAATATTCACACATAGCAAATAACATATTAAAATACATATAAGTAATGTTTTAGAAAATTGCGTTGATTTATCAATAAATGATGTTCATCTTGAACAGAAAGGTTAGATTTATCTGTGATGGATTAGGGGAAGGAAGGAAGGAAGGAAGGAAAGGAAGGAAGGAAGGAGTCAAAGTTCTCCTTAAAAAAGATGATATCAGTTAATCCTAATCCATCTGAGTGGATGACTGAGTAAAAGAAGTGGCAGGAAGAGAAACTTATGTTCTGCCCCATGGCTTTCCTTTGGATGCCACAGGAACAGAGAGAAGATAATGTGGTGGACTGCATTCTGTCGTCACTGATGAGTATGTCCCCAGCTGGCTATTATGTGGAAAACTGCCACTGCCATTCTGCTGAGGCTTGTGGGGACTGAATAGTAAGGTTGCAGTTGGATTGTGACTATTCAGAACTACTACAAGTCTTCAAATATAACCCAACATTATGATGGCTCAGTATTCCAGAATCACTAAAAGCCAACCTAGTTATTTCTTTATTCAACTTCTATCTGCCACAATCAGAATGGAATAGAAAGTCAAAGGTGAGCATAGGAACAAGGAAGATGCTTTATTCTTAGTCTAACTTTTATTTAATTAGTACAATATTACCTACAAAGACCAGTAGCAGCTCTCCAGAATTATAGGCAGGAGCTTTTGCAGTTTAGTCTAGATATTAAAGACTGAACAAAAGACTTCTCCATACATAGTATATTCTCCTCCTCTGAAATATAACAGAAGAAGTTGGGAACTTTTAGTAAAACGTTTGGAGTATAACAGAGAAGTCTAAAAAAGCACATTTACATAAAAATTCAGGAACTCACTCAGGCCAATTAAATGGTTCTGAAACAGCAGCTTTAACATGTTTGAGGGACTGAGCCTTGTTAAATGTACACATTGTGGACTAACTCCACTAGGTGGCACACTGAGAACTTGTGTAGTGAAATTCTACTGAAAGGAGACTCTCCCCAACACTATGATAATTAATTAATTAGAAGTGCTTTTTTAATGCAAACATGCTTACTTTAAGTAAGTATTAAACCTACTTTACTTTAGGTAAGTATTATATTATTAAAAAGGAAATATAGACAAGGTAAATTAAACCTTTAATTTCTCTCCCTTGCATGAGCGATAAAAATGGTATCTTCTAAGTACATGATAGATTGATTCTGTCTATATACAGTTGACAGTAATCTAATATATGCCATATATAGTATATAATAATGATAAAAATAGCTGAAGAAGAATCAAAGAAATTCAGATCAAAATAATGAAGAACAGTAGCACCTAAAAAGTGGATTTCATAAATCTAATCTGGTGTTTTAAAAAGTAATAGGATTTGGAAGGCAACCAAAGAGCTCAAATCCATGCTTTGCCCAATGAGTACATCTGTGCAATCACTGTAAATATGTGAATTAAAAGAAATCTGTGCACTCAAGATTCTAGGCACATTGTTGCACTTGTTCAGATTTATGGACTGCATTGATATAAAAAGATTCACAAAAGATTCACATGCAAAAAGGATGAAAAGACAGACCAGGCTATGTGGTGTGAATTTCTGGGTGCAACCGCACCCAAATAAATCTTTATATAATTTTTTTTAAAAAAAAACAAACAATTTTTCACGTTAACTTTCTGATGAGCATGCCATCAATTTTATATGAATAATGCTAAACAAGCCTATAGTCTGACAACTCTCTTCTTACCTGTTGTTACTATCTGTTCATTTCAATTTGTGTAAATAAATAGTAAATTATATATACTAACAGTGTTCTTTGCATATCTTCGCACAAAGTACCAGATCAATGTTTTGGGTACACATTCTTATTGTACAAATAGTTTAAAATGTCAATTGTATTATCATCACCTTCATCATCTCCATACTTACCTCCCATAGGTGGGCCTAAAAGGACAGGGCAGCACTCCACAATTGTGACGAGTCCTACTGCACTGGAGAATCTTGGCGCCCCAACAAGATCCATCAATGTCTCAAAAAGGACACTGCTAACCATTCCGAATGCAAGTCCAAAAAGTACAGCATACACAACCAGGCCTGTATAGGTTTCAGCCAATGGGCAAAGGATGTGGCAGACCCCATTGTACAAAACAGCAAAACTAAAGAAATACTGGATTTTGGGCCGGATGTATTTGGAGTTTGCAATTAAGCCCATTGATGGCCTGGCAAACATATCTACAAAAGCTAGGATAGAGAGTAAAAAAGCTGCTGAATATTCATCAATTCCTTTGTGCTTAGCATAAGGAGCTAAGAACACAATTGGGGCAAAGAAGCCAAGAAACATGATAACATTTCCAGACAAATAAATCAAAAAGCCCCTGTGTTTGAAGAGGGTTAAATCTAAGTATTTGTTGATGGTTTGCCAGACCGATTTCTTGTCATTCTTGTGCAAAGTGGAATCTTCAGTTGCTTTTTCCACATCTTTTTTGATAGCCTGCACAGGTTTTGGTCCAACAGGCCTCATAAGTGACCCAGCCACACAGCAATTTAAAAGAAGTCCTCCCAGAATGAGGAAACTTCCTTTCCAACCAAAAGCATTAAAAAGAAACTGATTCAGGGGTGCCAGAGTACTTAGAAAGACAGGACTTCCCGCCATGGACAGTCCATTAGCAATAGGACGCTTTTTATAAAAATATTTGCCAATCATCGTCAAGGCAGGTTGCAAGTTGAAAGCCAAACCCAAACCTAAAATAATAGAAAAAATAGAAAATTACTGCATTTAATACATTGCAACAAATCTCTCCAAATCAATCAAAATTGCCTCTCCCATCTCCCCCTGCTCAAATGTGAAAATGCCAACCTGTAATTCAGAAGAAAGGCCTTTCAAAAAAGCCACTGACACTGGCAAATAAAAACAAATAGGCATTGCTTCCCACATGCTTTAATGTCACCAATCTGCCACAGTACATTTCACTCACTCATTTTCTTCTATGGCGATGCAATAAAAGCAAAAGCTTTAGCAATGGCCAATCCAAGTTGCAGACAACAGAATGACAGGAGAACAATGATAACAAGACCTTGAAGACACTGTTTGTATATTTTACTATGCTACAATCCAATTTGCTCTTGGTTCATTGCACAGGAGTTATTAAATGTCACTTTTCTATAAAAAGGGTAGATTTTAGAAGTCTAAATCCTCTGCTTTTAGTTTTATCCTTTACTTAGATTTGAATAGGAACACATAAAATAAGCTTCAAATAATTAATACACATGGGTTATTACACAGCAAATGCAACCCTCAGTTTTCACCATGAAGTCTGGAAATACACAGTAGTTTTCTTTATGCAGATACAAGGATCTCTGCAGGAAGAGCAGAAGGTATTGGCCCAAGCATGCAAACAGTTCATTTACCCCATATATCATTATATAGCATTAGATATAAAAATATGGGGGAAATCTATTTTTTCCCTATTCTACCAACCTCTATTATTAAAGGCAATTTTATGAAAAAAAATACATGTTTGTGACAATGAAACAAGTTTTGTTTTGTTTTGTTTTACTTTGCTTATATGCTAATAATATGCCCTATCATTTGGTAAGTCAACTTTATTTTTCAATTCTAATTGTCATAATAATAATTCAAATTTTCATCAGAGTTGTTATATATCTTTCTTTGGATAGAAAGGTATCATAAAATGTGTTCTGCATTAACTTAACCTGTATTCCTCCTATGGGGTTTCAGACAACCAAGTCATTATGACTGAAGTTGGTAAACAGCTGAGTGTACTGCAAGAATTGCTTAAAAGGCTGAATTTTAAGTTTAAGTTGAATCTTAAAGCTGGTTATGATCCAACTTGCCTGAATGGTGAATTTGGAGTGACACAAAAATTGTAACTATAATGTAATATATACGGTATATATAAATGATCAATCATGGTCAAATAATCATCATGTGTGGATCAGTGACTATTGCATAAGTATGTTTGGTAAACAGGTTAATCCAATTTTCCAGATAGTAGCTGATCAGCAAAAAAAATGTTTTGAATATATTTATAAAGTTATCAATGCTTTAACTTTGAGAATTGAGTGAAAAGGAAATTCTATTAAGGACAATATAGTATGAGTTATATTTGAGCTTCAGTACATTGTTTCATTCCCTTTAAGTTTACTTCAAATTTTTTGGTTAGAACTACCTGTCCTTCAAATGCCCCAATAGGCCACTTTTAGAATAAACTTATAACTTGGAAAAGGAAAATGGGTATTTTGGCATGTTATCTAAACTCTGAATACTTTGTAAGGATACCTGCAGTAGAATAATGAGAAGCTAAAAGAACTTGTATAAAATTGAAAGTCGATGATTATGATAATTACTGCCAGAAACCAATCAATTATTTTCCTGTAATTGCAAAATGTTGCAGAAAGAATTATGCAAAACACACAACATCCTAACCTGAAGAAAGGAATGAATCAATCAATCAATTAGAATCAGAATCCAAAGATGTATGCTGAAGGAGAACATCAAGAAAATAAAATAAAAGGATATTGTTATATTACCTCCAATTACACCAACACATATGTAAAGTTGCAAGACGCTGTTGCAGAACGAAGAGGCAATCATTCCAAATGAAGCCAGTATCCCCCCAGCAATCATGATTGGCCTACTGCCATATTTGTTCACCAAAATACTGCTCACAGGGCCTGTGGACAGGAAAACAAAAATTGAGCTATTTTCTGAAAATTAAAAAATAAGCATGGATCTTTTCAGTGACTGAAATAAAAACTTTGTCCTTAGCCCACAAAATGTTCACTATATGCTTATTAACATCACTCAATATTGACACAATCAGATAAACAGATTGTGTTTATCTGATCAGATAGACAAATCAGATAGACAAATTGGAGTGTATGTGTTTTAACATTTTAATGTCTTCTTTTAACTTTTGTATGAGATATTGTTGCATTGTTTTATTCTCTGTTGTAAGCCGCCCAGAGTCCCTTGGGAGTTGGGCGGCATAGAAATGCAACAAAATAAATAAATAAATAAACATGCATTCACTATGGCAACTCAAACTATATATGCTGGAGTCTTCTATGAAGCAGAATAAAGCAACTGGTTACATATATGTGTCTGTGGCCAGCTTTCCTCCCCTAGAACCAGGAGAACAATTCTATTGGCATCCTGAGAAGTGTTCCATCAAAGACCTTACTGTCTATCAAGCATAATAAGATTTGGCAGTATGTCCCTTTGTTTTTTCCCATTCCATGGGGTTTAATTAGCTGTAGCGCTCCTTCCTCCTTCTTTTTCCATTCTTTCTACCTTTGTTCATTCTAGACAAAGAACTAACTTACAACTAGGTATGGATACTTAAGACAAGGTATGTGAATCAAAGAAATATTAATTTGAGTGGCATGTATATTTGGATTTGCTTTAGGCAGCACAAGGGCTTGGGATAGAACAAAATGAATCTTTATTTGCTCCTTCAGTGATCTGCTTGAGTGGTTCTTTCTTCAGGCAAAGGAGTGATAAACAGACCCAGGTGCATCTCAACATACAGATTGGCAAAATATTTCTGCACATAAAACCACTCTGATTGGCATGATGATTGCCCAGCTGAAATGGGTGTGCTAAATATCCAAACTGGCCTATTGTCAGACATATCTGGAAAACCTTCTTCATTGTGTTCTGCTTTCTCAGAATGCAGCAGAATTATCAGTCTGAGTATTGTATCAATTACATTAAATTAAAGTAGAAATGAATGAAAAGAAATCAAAGCATTGATTGTAGCATTTAAAGCTAGCCCTGAAAATGACTCTAGAATAAAGTGAAATGTCAAACACTGCTTTCGATTTACAAGAAACCCATCAATATTATCTAAGGCATAAGCTTTACATTAATCTCTTCCCTTCTAGACAAAGAACTATGTTAATATTTCCACTACTGTATAGAAAGTTAAGTAACCTGTACAGTAGTGTGGGTTTAAAAAGGTTCTTCTTTATAATAAAAGTGACTGAATTCCTGAATTTTAAACTCTTCTTTAAGGCTACTATGGTCACAACTCACTATTTACATGGGCCAAATGTTTCTTGGGATGCATTATTAATAAATAATCAACACAATCTTCCCAATACTGCTTCTTGGCCATATAAGTACAAATAAAAATAAACTTGTTTGTAGCTGCAAAGCAATACTGTGTCTACTTATCCATAAAAACAAAAAAGATAAATTAAGGAGTGAAAGAACATCCTAGCATACTAGATGGGAAGGCAGAAAACCATTTCACTAGTTTGCCTTTTTGTCAATGGGTGATTTGTGAACAGTTATCCACCATATGAACAAACAAGCTCCATGGCAGCTTATTTTGTAAGGCTACATGATCCTCTCTTAGTATTCTTAAACTGTACCAGCTACTTGGTCAATTTTTCTACTGTAGCCTAAAATTTTCATTTCAGATGCGTGGGGACAGAGACTTTCTGGGTCAGGAGCTTCTGTTCTGCTGGTGAATCATAGGAAACTTGATCATCCAATAGTATTTTCATAATTTTTCAAACTGTTTTTCTACACTATATGAACAATTGCTGATGGGATTAAAATGGAAATTAAAGTGTTTTGTATTATGGAAGCTGTTTATCCTTCCCCCCCCGCCTGCCCATTCATGGTCTTCAAATGCCTGCAACCTTCAAATCATGCAAAAATTGCAGTTTAATAATTGACCATTTTGCAATCAAATTTTGGTGGCCACATATGGGATATTGAAGGAACCATCCAACAACAGGAAATCATTCTAGGGTGTTTCTGGGATAGCAAATTGAAAATATTAAACAAGTTCCTTCTATTCTATCTATCTCTATTTTATTGCCTATCTCTCCCCACCTCCCCCCCCCATCTGTCTCTCATCTCTATCTCAAGAGTAGACAGACTGAGAAAAAAAGAGGAATAATACCACTTTACTGATCATATAAACCATATTTTCCAAAAGGGGTTTGCAGGTGAGGTGACACTATAATTGTCATTATCCTAACTGTTATCAACCATTTATATACCTGATGGCAGCTGTAGATTCTAAAAAGCATCCGTAGGTTCCAAAATGAAGAATGTATGTCCATTTAATTGGATTTGTAAAAAACTGTGTATCTTCTTTAAGTGTTTAAAATTATACTAAAATTTTATGCCTAGTTATCAAATACATAAAATCATATACATTTATATTATGAACTTGTAGTCAAGGTTATAATTGCTATCCCCAAATGCAATTGCACATTTAACAATTTCTATTATTTGTTCAAAAATAATGATCTAGTCTGCCTCTTTTTATAAACTAATTTTTATTTTTTGGAATTTCATGCCCTGCATGAAATTTGACCTCCAGTGACCTGATAGGCCAGGAAGCAGAGTATGGGGTGCTTGGGGTGGCTAGGCCTTGAAAGGCCCAGAGCACGCATGCATAGGCCTGTATTAGGTCTTCCAGGACCTTAATGACCACTTCAGGGCCCGCAGGGATGGGAGTTGTTAAGCAGGATAATCACATGGCACCTTGCTTAAAAACCATCACAACCTGCAATCCTGATGTGCAGGCTTCATTATGTCATAAGTCAAGGACTACTTGTAATCAAATCCTCAAGTCCCATCAAATGCTGATCAACAATTTTAGGGAAATCATCGTATTCCTAATCCTGCAGCCAGGAGCTAAGAATATGAGTTATGAGATTAACTTTTGTTGTTAATTCAATAACTGTGTGTGCTGCTACAAAATTAAATGTGTGACCTCTGAGGATTGTTTTCATAAGAATCTAAAGAAAAATACTTCAGGAAATGAAACACCCTAGTGCTTTATCGTCAAAAGTAGCAATTCAAGATAATTCAAGTCCACATTGTGGAAATGTGTCCACAGGTTTCCGTGCATTCCATCAGCCGAGGGCCCAGGGTAGGGGTGGGGGATGGCAGCTATTCTTAATGAAGGTCTTTGTCCGAGGGAGGCCACTGTACCTCAGATAGCAGGGTGTGAGTCCCTCCTTGTGAAGTGGGGTTGTGGGGTGCAGATGGGCTTGCTGACTGCGTACCTGGCTCCCTGCCACATAGCGGCGGCCCTGCCCGAGCTGCTCAACATAATAGCCGTTGTGGCAGTGGATACCCCCACACTTATGGTCATGGGGGATTTCAACCTGCCATCCATCGGTGAAACATCTGAAGCAGCCCGGGAGTTCATGGCCTCCATGACGGCCATGGACCTGACCCAGTTAGTTCAAGGCCCTACTCACATGGGGGGACACATTCTGTATCTGATTTTTGTCTCTGGTCAGTGGTTGAATGATCTAGAAATAGGGGATATAGTCACCAAGCCCTTGACATGGTCAGATCATTCACTCTTTCGACTAGACTTTCGAGCCGCTAACCTCCGCCGCAGGGAGTCAGAACCGACCAGGTGGTTCCGTCCCTGACCCCTGATGGATCCGGATAGGTTCCTGACAGAGCTTGGGCCATTCCCTGAGGCTCTGGCTCATGACTCGACTGAAGAACTGGTGGCCGCCTGGGATAGGATGGCCGCTGGAGCTTTGGACTGCGTCATGCCTTTGAGGCCTCTGACCCAGTGCCGATCTCAATTGGTTCCCTGGTTTTCCGAGGAGCTGAGAGAGATGAAGCACCAGAAAAGACGCATGGAGACAATTGGAGGTCCAGCTGTTCCGAATCTGACCGAACACTAGTGAGGTCCCACATTAAGACCTACTTAGTGGCGATAAGAGCGGCAAAATCAAATTATTTTTCCGCTCTTATTGCGTCTGCAGAGAACCACCCAGCAGCCCTGTTTAGGGTGACCCACTCCCTTCTTCAATTGGGAGCGAGGGAAGACCCCTTGCAGGGTAGGGCTGAGAATTTTATGCAATTCCTGAATGATTAAGTCACTCAGATTCGGAAGGCTTGGATTCCGATTGGGTAGATTCAGATGGGGTAACGGAGGTGGGTCTTGAGAATGTTATCTGGGAGGGGTTTGACTTGTGATTCCTGAGGACATGGACAGGATTCTGGGTAGGCTTAGCGCTGCCACATGTTTATTGGACCTGTGTCCCTCCTGGTTGGTGCTGGCCTCCTGGACAGTCATATGAGGCTGGCTCCAGGAGATTATTAACGCTTTGTTGAGTGAGGGGTTCTTCCCTCCCTCCCTAAAAGAGGCGGTGGTGAGGCCCCTCCTCAAGAAGCCTTCCTTCGATCCGGCTGTATTAGCAAACTATCGTCCAGTCTCCAACCTTCGCTTTGTGGCGAAGATTGTTGAGAGTGTGGTGGCACGACAACTTCCCCAGTACCTGGATGAAGCTGTCTATCTAGATCCGTACCAGTCGGGCTTCAGGCCGGGTTTCAGCACGGAAATGGCATTGGTCGCATTGGTTGATGATCTCTGGAGGGCCCGGGACAGGGGTTGTTCCTCTGTCCTGGTCCTATTAGACCGCTCAGCAGCTTTTGATACCATCGACCATGGTATCATGCTGCGTCGATTGGAGGGGTTGAGAGTGGGGGGCACCGTGTTGCGGTGGTTCTCCTTCCTCTCTGCAGTTTGCAGTTGGCAGAGCAACTGCAAACTGCAAATATGCAGTTTGTGTTGGCAGGGGGTCAGAGGTCGACCTCGAGGCGCCTTGTTTTTGGGGTGCCGCAAGGGTCGGTCCTCTCGACCCTTTTGTTCAACATTTATGTGAAGCTGCTGGGTGAG